CAAGGTGTCTGTAGTCTATCTCATCCTGCCCCATGTAACTGTTACAAAGCTGGGGCCCAGAAGGTCTGGGTAAAAGGGAGAAATGACTAGGCAGTGCATCCCAGATTGGACCACTTCTTGGATGTCTGTGCCTTCTTTGGCCCAGCAAACAGAGATGGACTTGATGAGCATTTTAGCCCAGCATGGGTCTCTCTTTGCTTATTAACTTCTGCAAGTTTCCTGATGCAACGGAGGAAGAGATCCTCTCGGTTGCTGCCTTTTTGGTTCTCAGTAGGCACAGATAGGGGTCAGCTACTGTTTTCATGGTATCTGTGTATGGTTCCTCTGCCTGTTTTTGCATCCTCAAGAGGCACTTAGCATCCTCAAGAGGCACTTAGCATGTTGTGACTTTATTTAACTCTGCCTATGATAAGCAGGAGGAAGAGGACTCTGATGAAGACTATCCACAGGGAAGCCAACAACCTCTGCCAGATCCAACATCTCACCTTCCTGGTGGTGATCATCTCACCTGCTCTAATGAGACTGAGCCTGTGAGGGTCCTGCTGCCAGATGAAAAGAAGGAAATCAAACAACCAGCCCTCTCCATGTCCAATTTACATGAGGCCACCATGTGAGTGTGAATCCTAAGTGTGGAGTCACCTTTTAACACCTTCGGGTCTGTGATACCTCATATGTACATACAGAATTCAGAAGAGCTATTAGATTCTCTAAAAAAAAAAAATGCTATCCATCACAGAATAGTCTTAAAAGCATAAGCTGGTTGTGTTCTTAACTGGAGAATTGACAAGACAATGCCATGAGGAACCAAGGCTCCCAGTAAGGTCCTAAAGATGCTATAGATGCTGATATTCAGCTTGCTACATACAGTTGCACATCTTTTCAGCAGGGCCTGGCACCAGTCTAACTCTTGGCAGTGTGGGAAGCCACGCTGGCCTTTGAAAATGCTGGACCAAAGGAATTAAGATCCTGCTATCAGGGCTTTTATTCTAGTCTATTCCATTTAGATAAGATGATTTCTCCAGACTGGCGATCGCCTTGGCCTTAAGTCAGTGAGCTTCTGTTTTTCTCCTAATGGTCCCTCAGTCAGGAACTCTGTGGGTTTTCATTAGCGTTATCATTGTCGTCATTGGCTTGCATTCATGTTGATCATTGGCCTTCCTTTGGTTTGTGTATTACAGGCCAGATTATGAGATTTTTAACATGTATTATGGTGTGGTGAGTATATGCCCTAAGATAGGGATGGAATCCCTACAAATATACGAGATGAGATCAAGGGCTAAATTGTAAGATGAGATTTTGGTGTGCTTGTAGAATCAGTTGGTACCTCAATTTCAGCTCACAGAAGAGTGACCTGTTTGGAGGCAAAAAAATCAGTCTTCCTTCCTCCCCTCCTTCCTTTCATACCTCTCTCTCTCTCTCTCTCTCTCTCTCTCTCTCTCTCTCTCTCTCTCTCTCTCTCTCTCTCGGTTCATCTGTTCTAAAGCAGCTGTTCTTAACTTATTTTGGGTGGACTTCTTGAAAGCAATGGAATCTTTTTTTTTAACCTCCGTTGGGCGCAACTGATCTCACAGATTCATTGCACACAAAGATACCGCTATGAAATACATCTTTACTGTAATAAGACACAAACACGACTGGCAATAGGTTACAGTAGAGGGGGAAAATATGGAAGTGATGAGTCATGATACTTAACTGTTAGATATTTGAAAATTTGTGTGCAATGAATCTGTGAGATCAGTTGCACCTGGCGGAGGGTTAAGAAAATGCCCACATATAAATTCAGGGAGTTCACAGTCGCAGACTCTGAAACCACACACAAGTTCCCCAGATAAAAGTTCCTACTCTAAAGTATATGACTTTTCTCTTTTGTCTTAGTAGAATGAAGTGAGTAGAATTTGCAGTGTAGCTATCGTTTGGGTCTTTGTTTCATTGTCAAGGGTGTTGCCATTCTCTCCATACTCTAGATTAAGGGTATAATTTTCTTTAACATCTCTTCCTTTTGTGTCTCTAATGTTCAGTCTACCACCAAATACTGATGAGTATACCTCCAAAATGTCTGTCCTTCATCCATTCATACAGCTTTTACCTTCACCATTTCTACAGTGGACTCAGTCTGTTTGCCTCCCATCTGTCCTTGTCCTCTCTCCTTTCCTGTGACATTATTTTCATCAGGTAATTTCCCCTGCTTATGTGCTCTTCTATGGTCTGGCTGTCCATGTGCCATACTGATTCAAAGACACCCTTTTAGATAGAACACTTCTGTATCATAATAGCTTTTGCGGAATAGATGAATCTGCTCATGATCTCTGTTATGCCAGAGCTCAGTAATGGCAAATAATTTCCCTGATGTAGGCCTGTACTTCTCGACCATCTCCGAGAAACTAGGGCTGACAAGAAGAGACTTCGGAAAGCCTTAAGAGAATTTGAAGAACAGTTTTTTAAACAAACGGGAAGGTAAGTGTGGGCAGAGGTATATTTTTAAGTTAGTATTTCCTAGGCAACTATTGTTTAAGAATGAGCTAGAATTTTTTGAGGAACAGTGACTTTATCTAAGATATAAATAATTTCCACAGTGACTTACTTAGACCCAGGATTTGTCTCATGCAACACTGTGATAATGCCATAATTAGGTATGTTTTATGGGAGGCTGTAGCTATCAAGTATGACAACGAGGTTTAAAAAAATAAAATATGAACTCCCCAAATCCCTAACTTTAAATAATACATGCCACTGTAACTATTTAATTTATCTAAACCTTTAAAAAAATCTGATTTTTCAGCCTACAGAACTTCTTTGTTCTTGGTTATGTAGTTCCACAGTTATTCTCTACTTCGTAAAATAATCCTTCCTTTACTTGAAATATATCCTTTCAACTTCAGGATCTGCCCTTAGTTATTTTATTTCAGGATTTGGCCAAAAGTTCATAGCTATTTTTTCTATCTCTTAAATAAATATTTAGCTATATCCTCTATTTGTACTCTCTTTTTCTGTGTCAACCCAAGTGTCTCATTATGCACCCCATTAGTTTCCTCTAAATTTTGGTGTATCAGCAACAAAATTGTATCTATAAAATCATGAGATCAGGGTTATTGATCCATTTCTGGAGGAGAAAGTGACAGACAAATCACTTAGCTCTCCTGAGCCTGTTTCCATGGTGAAATGACTGGCCTTCCCGGGATACTCTGGGAAACTAGTTTCCCAGACGGGACGACAGTCTTAAAATAATAAAGGTATAATTTTACAAAGTCAAAAGATGATTAAGGTGGCAGAGGTGAGAGTCAGTGATGCACTGGCTCCTGGGTTTCCTCCCCATCTATGTACCTGCCTTTCCTGAACTGCTTTCATTTCAGCAGGCTGAGGGTGGCCCTGATGGAGACAGACTATTTTCTAAAGGATCTTGAAAGGTTGGCCTACTCACCTCTGTGTCAGCAGCTTTTCCATTTCAGCCCTTCAGGGCTGTTCACTAAGTCTGGACCTTCAAAGTCAGAAACTTTTTGCATTCATACAGATGTAACCGACCTAGTTTTCTGCCTGGAATCTTCCTTTCCGGCTGATTGCTACAAGTCCAAGTTACTTACCTTTCTGCTAATGTTAACTAATCTAGTGAGACTGTTATTGTTACGTGGCTGTTCAACTTAGGATGTAAAACATAATTTCTTGTTTTCTTTTTCCATTTCTATTTATTCCTTTATATATTTCCATATAACTTTTACGTTTACATTCTTATCTATTTGAACCCAGGAGTCTACTTTAAAGAGTTTGAGAACTTCCCAGTGTATTAGTAGTCCTGCCTAATGGATCTGCAGTGGTACCGGGCATGCCTTCTGACACATTGGGAAGTTAGTTATGCTCTACATACAGTATTCTATTATACCTGTGAGTCCTTAGCCCACTAGAGATATGCCTATATTTCACTGAGGTTATACGCCCTCTTGTGGTAATATACTTAAACTAAATGCAACATCAGATAGTTGAATGGCTAGGAAATATGGAATTTAATCTTGTTTCCCTAAGATATTGTATTAGGAAGGCCTAACTACCCATCAGGTAAAATAACCATGCAAATGGATTACTAAACATTTTAAGGTACTATAAATGTTCTTGTAATATTTACCATGCAAGGGGCATAATCATAGAGATTTGACATTATTAACAATTATGAGCCAGAAACTATGCTAATAAGCATATTCGCATATTTTATTTAATGAGAAAACTGCTTCAGGAAATACTACCAAAGGTTTTCATTCTGGCCAAAGACCTCTTGTTTATTAGCCGAAATAGAGTATGCAGGGAAAGGTTACATAATGGATTATTCATGTTTCCCTAGAAATTAGACCATTTCTTTACCTAGATCTGTGTAAACAAATTAAGGTGGTATTTAGACACCAAATTATAAGTTTGGCCCATAATACAGAATGGAGGCAAAGGAATTATGTCCTATAATTTAGACATTTAAGAGGAACCCTGTCTGTAGATTTGTGTGCTGTTCTGAGTTCTGTACTAGAAATTGCAGGACGGTGTATAGTGGTGCAACACAAGTAGATAACTATTTTTAGGGATTAGCTTTTTGTAATTTAAGAGATTTATCTTTATTAGTACTGGGAAAATAGAAGGGGTTATAGGTAATACATTAAATGTTTGCTATTTACCCATTTTCAGCCATACTGATATTGGAGAGTATGTGTGTTTATATTCAGTAGCAATTGTGGTGACTTCATCTGTTTTCTACCCCTTGTATTTCAAAGTCATGGGTGGAAATGTCTTAAAAACAATTGGGCATCTTCTCAACCAAGAAGACAAGAGCACTCTGAGATCTTGAAGCAATTATTGACCTTTAGAGAACATGTCCTGGCAACATATTTTTGTGGGAAGGCAAATGGTTTTAACTCCAGATGTTACCCAATTGTACAAAGTAAATGGCAAAAAACACGTGTAGTTTGAATTCATATGTATAAAAATATATGCATTATCATATGTCTCATCTTAGTAGAATTAGTGTGTCAAGAGAACCATTGAAATTTATTCATAAATTGCTTCAAGGAAATTTTCAGTGATTCTACTACACATTAGCAGAAACAGGCATTACAATTACAAGAAAACTTGGAAATATTTCATGTTTGTGAGGGAGCCATTGAGCTTTTTTTTCTATCACCATAAATTTATAAAATATTTTTGACATGATTTTTGCAGTATTTTTACTCGCTACTTTTAACAACTCTCACTATAAAGGCGGAACATTGTCCATAGGCAGGGAAGTGGAACATGGATAATGGGAGAATGACTAGACAAAGAATGCCTTAAGGTTCTGGCTTTTGTTTTTTTTTTTCCTTAGACCTTTCAGTTGCCCTATTGTTATATATCTATGCACTGGACCATATATTTGCAAAGCACCTAGGACATTCAAGTTCTCACAGGGTACTATTATACAGAAACCTAGTAACATGTGGAAGGAAGAGGGAGTGAATGAAGGTGGAAAGGAAGGGAAAAATGACATCATGCAAAAACCAAGTGGAAACTGCTGCCCTGTACTTTCTTGAGTTAGAATTATGAAAGGATTTTTAATGACTTGATTCACTGCGAGCTAATAGATGGTATTTTCTGTTTTGCAGAAGTCCACAAAAGGAAGATAGGATCCCAATGGCAGATGAGTACTATGAATACAAGCACATAAAAGCCAAGCTGAGACTACTCGAAGTCCTAATCAGCAAGCAAGACGTGGCCAAAACTATTTGAAGTTCAAGACATATTTGTGATTACTTTTATCCAAGATAAAGTTTATTTTCCTCTGCCATTCTTGATAAGTAAGTAGTTTTGACATACTGAAAACTGAAGCACTTTAGTAGTAGTGTTAGCTGTTTTTAAGAAGGGATGGCAGATATAATTATAAATGAGGAGGAGGGATTTAAATGAGGGGAAATATAGTAAGTAACAGGATAATTGGAAAAGAAATTCAACTTCCTCCATGCCAAGGAGAAAACTCAGTCAGCATAATTATTCTGGAAAACATTTAATATTTTTATCAAATCTAGATAACACATAGCTTCCACTTGTTCACTGGGCCACTTATTAGGGAAAGCCTACTTAGTGTCCAAAGATTGCTTATGTTGATGTATGGGAAAAAAGCATGATTTAAAAAAGGAGGAAAACAAACTCTTCTTTTTATGTAGGAAGGAAGATAGTAAGAATGTAACTTATTTGAAACCTCTAATAGATTTTTAAGTGATTAAAAAAAATCTCCTACCTTGTCCCCTGTCTGCTAGGCTTTCAGTACCCTAAAATATACTAGAATGTGTCATTGCTAATTTTTTATTTCTATATAAAAATAGCACATTATTTTATCTGTTAATTGAAATTTTACATTTCTGATTACCAAAGTTCATTCTGATAGCATGTACTTTGTGAATTATCTTTGTCTATAACTGACAGATGTTTATATTAAAATATTGTATTAAAGTTTGAAAATAGGTATTTTGGACAGATTAAGTGTCTGCAGTATATAATCTAATGTGATCACAGTTATGATTGCTAATCTTTTTGTTTACTATAACTAAGAGTATATAACTATTTTTTCATTGGGAATACGCATTTTCTTAAGGTTCCAAGGTCTATACTTTGTAAAGTCAAAAAGCTTTCTCGTAAGCTGTAGTTATTCTTCATTTCTGTACAAAATGAAAGGTTTGAAAATTGTTTGCTACAATACCTTGGAAAAGAAGCCAGAATATTTTATTTGCTTCATAAACTTAAGTGTATATTGTTTTGTGTTATTTTGTACTAAAACACGTGTTTATTATTTCTGCTTTTCTAAAAATAAGTAAAAGGTTGTTTTCTCTCTTGTACCAACCATGTTTGTATTTCTATTTTCTGTAATGTTTAAGCATGATGTTGAACAAATTCACATTTTCATATAGTTTGGATGGGAAGAATATTGACTATTTCAGAGGCTTATTGTTTTTTTCTGTATTTACCTGATATTTTGTAACTTTTATGAAGCAGAATAATGTCCTTCATAAATCTGTTTAATTAAAGTCATCTACTTGTAACAGGACAGATACACAACTATTTGAGGTTTACAAACTACATCTTTGATAAGGGAAATGGTTTCGTGACATGTATACAATTGCTATTAAAATGTAACTATATATTCTATATGATTGTAAATATTTTATACAACAATACAAATAAAATATTTTTCTATTATATTTATTATGTTGAAACACAGTAGTTGTTTCCTGTTAGCTAATATAAATAACATAAATAACACTGTCAAACAACAAGTTTGAAGTGCTGACAATTCTAGGCTTCAAGATTTAACTCATGCTGCAATTACACCCTTTCATGCGGTTTGGAGTTATCTCAATATTTGTTCAGTAGATTAAAATGAATGCATATTTAAACACCATTTATAAGCCGTTATTTTGTATTTTGCTAAAGCAGTATATAATTGTTTTGTTATGTTTGGCATAGAAGGAAAATAAAAACATTGCAGCATCTAGGCAAAGTGTCAGAAGTAGAACTTAGAAAGTAGTGGGAAGGGGAGGGAAGAAGAAACACTAAAACGGCTCTGAAGGAAATTTGAAAAGTAGCCGTTTGCTTTTGGTGATAGCGGCATGTGCATGCTTCAGTGGAAAACATCTGGTGATGAAAATGGACAACAGAGGATCAATGCTCCTAAGAGAAGGAAGGGGACTGAATAAGAAAAGTGGGCATTAACGTCCAACACTGATATTACAGGTTTTGCAGCTGGGATCTTTCTTTGCATTTGCGGTAGACAAACTCATGAGCTGATGACCAGTGATTTCTGCCACGGTGCCCAGAGAAAGATCCACAGGGTCAGTGTAAATGACTTCTAAAATGACATCCTGGGCATGGTGGTAAACCAGCACCCCATCTTCTTCTGTGCACGTCAAAAATTTATTATCCTTGGAATTGAGCTGAGGAAGGCGCTGCTTACAAAATTCATCTCCAGGTGATCCCACAGGGGCAATAACAAGAATCACATAATGATAAGCTGTGTACATACAGTAGAAGTCCCCAAAGTATAAGTTACTATTGGGGTTAAAAAGTTTTTCAGCTGCAATCTCAAACCTGTATCTTCCATAAGGTGAATCCTGGGGTGGCTTCCCAGTATTGAATTCAGTGCTGCAGCTGAAGAAGATGCCTTCTAATTTCCCACTGATAGGAGAGCCATGGCTACCACTGTTATCCTTGACAGAGGGCTGCATAGCATTCCCATGATGTTCTCTGCAAGAGAAGAGAAATGGCCATTGCTTGGTACAATAGTTGTAAAGCTACTGATTTATAGATTTGAATGGTGATAGGCCTAAAAGTCAATGTCTACTATTAAAGACCTGAATGCTAATTCTACTATCACATCAAGAAGAATGCATCTTTGACGTTACCTATAGATGGCTAAGTTCTAGCCTTAACTCTAAGGTAAGGATGTTTCCTTTGCACACCTTTGAGATTTTTAGCATAATAAATATCCTGGTCAGAAAAAAACCAAACTAATTTACATTAATTTTATACCTTTGGAAAAATCCAACAAAAATAAATTTACTTGTCAGTAAAAATATATCTTTCATACTAGTATCATCATATTAATGAATCAATCATACAATATCTACAATAACTTTTTTCAATTTTCTATGCTCTTTGACTTTTTTTTTTTTTTTGTACGAATTTTGAAAACAGATGAAGCAAATTTTAGAGTAAGGCCTGAAAACAGGCCAGTCAGTTCCCAGCCAAATAACAGAGAAAATCAGAGAAATACTGACCTCTAGTGGCCAACTAAAGTAGACATTGGCAATATTCCAGGAATCTAAACCTAATACCAAAGATGTATTTATTTATTCTATTGCATTCCTTATTAAAGAAAATAGCAATGGTGGATGTTTTTGTTTTCAAATTTTATGCCTAGCAAATATAAAGAAATACCTTTCTTGGTGAGTATATATGGTCATTTCCATTTAACAACTGACAGGTACAATAATTTGTGTTTTATCTCTCCACTTGTACTCTCTAAATTAGGTGAATGGCATCCACCATGAATTATATAGTCTCAGGGTAGATAATTTACCAGCTAAACGAGTTATGGACTAAACTCAGTACTCAGGATATTTAAGCATAAGAATGATCTTTGCCATCAAAATATATAAAAACTATATGATACTGCAAAGTACTTCATTTGAACAAGAGATGCCTAAATTTATTTCTCTCTCTGATTCCTTTTGTGTTTTCCACAGCTTAGAGCTGATTTAAATCTGGAACCACGATCTAGATTTAAGAAAAACTAGAGCAGTATGAAACAAAAACAGAGTCCTAAAATTTTTTCAAATAAAATCCTGTCAATTAAAAAATCCTTTACAGTTTAAAGTGAGACCAAGCCTTTTTAAAATGACAAATTTGAGATTACTGTGTAAAAGTTTTAGAATCTATATAGCATTTATAATTTTAAAAGACTTAGTCTCATTTTCAAAAACACATTTGCCTATTTACCCTCCTGAAATTTTCTTCTACGAATATGAAAGGGCTGTAAGTATTGAAATTACCCATGGCATAAAATTCTTTTGAATTCTTGGAAACTGCTCCTGGGGTAAACATAGGCTATCTTTGAAATACTAGCTGACACTAGAATTCAAATGTAAACAAAGGAGACTGTCCTCATGAATAATCACTCCAAGAGAACAGTTGAGAGATTTCCACTTAGGCAGAAGCCTGAAAATCCCACCCAATTCACCATTAATATTTCAGGAAATAATCGCTATTTTATTCTCTCACTTTTAATGTCTTAAAGAGATCCACAAGAGGAAAAGAAAATTTAGTAGTTGATATGAGACAGAAGGCACTGAGTTACTGAGAATTAGAAGAGTTATGTACATGAAATGCTCATCAATCTAAACCCTGGAGGTTTAAGATCTTTCACTCAAATAGAGAAGAATTGGTATTACAAATGATTATGGAAAGCAATCTGAATGAAGTGGAAAAAAAATCCCATGATCTGACTTTTTCTACTTAATTATTCTGGGAAATAAAATCAGAGTATAATTAACTACTTTTAAAAGAAAACTAAAATTGCTATTTCACAAAATTAGACTCAAGGAAAACCTAAGCCTAAAATGTGGAATGGCATTTAGTAAGCAAATCACTAAATTTATTTTTTTATTCTTACCGAATATAATCAAAATATTCTTTGTGCTGGTTACGATAAAAAACAGAAAATTTTAGCATTCGTCCTGCAATCACTTCTGCCTTCTCCAACAGTTGTGTTAGATGAACTTTTGAATAGTCTGAAAATAACATAAAAAATCTGTTTTTAAAAATACATTATCAAAAATATCAACTACATGCTTAATAAACTGAAGATTATTAAAATTCATCTTTAGGAGATTCATCTTAATGAATAGAAAATTGCATTTAATAAAGAAAACATTTGTTGTCTTTGGCACATTTTTCCTTCTACAAAAATATTTTTGTTATGGTTTATGGTTGTTTTCTAGGATACTCTTGCATTTTTGTTTATTTACTCTTTGAAATGAAAGATAGTGAAACAAAACTGTTAAATAGGAATACAGACTCTGCATAACTCAAATAATCAGTACCATACAAGCTTTTCTTCAATCAGCTGATAAATCAAATAAAAGAAGCTTATAACCTGCAATCAATAATAAATATAATTTAAAGGAGTAGCAATAATAATGTTCATTTACTTTACTCTCTAAATCTATGAGGTTGGCAAGGTAGATTAACTATGACCATTTTAATGATGCAGAAATTGAGGCTTGTTCAAGTTTGATGATTTGCCTAATGTTCATACAGCTAGTATCTTAGAGACTAGGTCTTTGGCTCTTAGTTAACTGTTTTTGGGTACACAAGACTCTTGCAAGTCTAAAGCATCTCTCAAAATAACCTGATTTTTTCACCAACTTTTTGTTTTGAAATTGAGGATCATCGTCAAACTGCTGTACCAGAATCTAGGCAAAAATTTTGGTCTATAAAGATAATAAGACTTTCCAAATAAAAGCAACCTAATTGAATTGTTCATAGTTTGTTTACTCACAGCTTCACTGGCTCAAGAAACATTGATTCAGATTAGAACATATGATGTACAAGGTACCATTCAAAATTAGATAATTAGGTTAAAAGATAAAAATATATTATTCTTCCTCAAAGAACTCACAGTCTAAAGGAAGAGATAAATATACAGACAACCATGACTTATTATGGGATAAGCACAGGATTTCATCTCTATCATAGACTAGACTAGAAATAGAATAGTCAGTGATAGTCTATTTTATTTTGAACACTGTGCACACTGCATAACATACAGTATGTGCTCAGTAAGTGTTGAGTGAATGAGATGTCCAGATTAAGAGGCAACTGATACAAAACAGCTTTCTCAAAATTTATAGAGTCAAGGTTATTGATAAAGCTTAGGTGAAATAATCTCTGAATTATTTTGATACACTGAAACAAGCTTTCAACAGCTTTAGTTCCTCTTAGATTTTACTCATGAAATAAAGATGCAAAATAATTTATAGTAAAATATTGTTGCACATTTCAAAGCTGGTATTTTCCTTATTATTTACCCCATAACTTCCTTAGAATTATTGGGTGGAGTTAAATAAAAGAGCAATAGAGAGATTACTCTAAATGAAAGTAAGAAAACATAAGGTTTTCCTTCATATACACAGAAATAAAGCATGTACTCAAATAGTTAAATAGATTGTAGAAGAGAGCAAACGTGTACTGATTGACTAACAGATGTTATAGACAATTTATGAACTAGAAATGCCAAAGGTCTTCTTTAAGATAAAGAAGAAATAATATCTCACACCTTTCCCTAATGTCAAATGGGGTTTTAGCAAGTAAATTACAGCTCTTTTTTTTAGCTGAGCCATCCTGCCACCTGTTGGGAGCTCAGCGGCAGCTCAGCTCAGACCTGGCATCGAACCGCTGTTGCTCAGAGCTCGCACTCTTGAGCAAGTTCTTAACCAACTGAGCCACTTGGCGGGCCCATACAGCTCTTTTTAATGGACAAATACTATAATACTGTTTGACGCAGTCCTGTGGAAAATGGCATGCATTCAAACAATGCCACAAGAGACTGTGTCTCTTACTGTGTCTTAAATTAAAACTCCTTGGGAGGGCACAATGAAAGTAGGTGGAAAGAAATGCAGTAAGAGAAGTAAACATGAGGTAGATTCCAAAGAGGAATTTTAATTCAGGAAAATAAAATTGCAAAAATATATTTATTCCAACATGCCACATCAAATATAAGTGATGTCAATGAGAATTCTTTACTCACTATTAATACAATATGGAAATCTTTAGCTATTTAATTACTGATTACTGGTTTATGATTAATACCATATTTCATCTATTCTAAAATTTTTTTAACATTTTAGCATCTCTTACATGGGTGACAATAAATGTGATAAGAAAACATAGTTTCATAGTTTAATTGGCAGTATTTTTTCTTAACGATACAAAAAAAATGGTGGGTATTACAATCAATGACATCTTAGATAGGAAGAAATATGGTACCAGAGAGATTACTTTCCTTGCTCTTAAGAATTGAAATCCTTAGCAATCAAGGGTGTTGTAATCCCTAGCGATTTTCTCACAGAAGAAACAAAAAGGGTTGAAGATAAAATCAAAACAACATAGAATTAAATTTCATCCACTCAGCATTTCCATAGAAGTTTTATACTGAGTTTGAGATTAAGAAACAACAGATGAGATAAAGCAGTAGCTAAGCATATACTGAGTCTAAATAATACAAGTATGAGGTTGTGGTGGTGATGGGGGGGAATAGCTGATTTATCTGAAATATGCCTCAGCTGAAGAAAGTTGCTAAGCAACCCGCAACAGGTGAGGGGAATTGTTTCTAAGGCTTTTTCTACAAGCTCCTTTATGTTAAACACTCAGCCTCTCTCTACAGTTTTTTAGAGGAGACAATTACCAAGATAAAAAGGAAAGAAAGAATCATTCTAAGAGACAAAAGGAGAAGATGACAGATGTATTCAGGTAGAGTTATGTTTGTATGCCTTCAAAGCCTATGTAATAAATATTTGTTTATTGATTGAATGAATAAACATATAAATAAATGAGATGAATGGGAACATCTCCAATCTAGTAGAATATTAAAGTACAGTTCCAGATCGAAGGGGAAGGGCTCTCTGTATCAGATATCCCAATGCCAAATGGCTGTGAGGTATTTGCTAATGAAGCAAAGACATACATACACACACATGTACACAGAAGACACTAGTTTAGAGATAGATTTTTAGAACTCAAGTGAAAAAATCCAATAACATTTCTGGTTAGGTACAGTCATTGAGAGCTGTTTCTTTTCCCCTAAATTAGAGAAGGATGTTTCTGGCTTCTTCCTTTCAATACCCATGAAAAGAAAAAAAAAAGGAAGGGAAAAATAAGGAAGAAAAAAGCTCTCTCTCAAAATATGCTGAGTATATTTTCAAGCTGCATCAATTTTTATCTGGAAAGCTTTTATTTTGGAAAATCAAACTCTGCATGCAGTAGAGAAGTAATTTAATGCCATTACCCAGATTGTGCTGAGAACCTCAGCTCCTTACAATCAGCACGACACTATTGTGTTACACAATGCTACTGGCAATGCAAAAACGACCAAAGCGATACACAGCATCTTATAATTACATAAAGAAATTATACGTATTTTTTTCTGTAATCAGCTTCCCAGAACTATTAAATAAGATTTTTTTCGATTACCTAAGTTCTCTTACCTGCTGTGCAGAATTCTATAATTTCACTCCATTCAGACACAACATAATCACCATCAACTTGTTTTGAGGCAGTCTGCACTGCTACCGTATACTCAGTTCTTGGGCTCAAAAACCAGTGCCCACGGACAGTCATTGGCAAGGGAACAGCTTTTGCCACTAATTTTGTTGGAACATCCTAAGAAAGGAAAAAAGGAATAAAAAGAAGGAAGGGAGGGAGTGAGGGAGGGAGGGAGAAAGGAAGGAAATAATTTAGCAGTATAACTTGAATCAACTATAAACAATGTAGAGGAACTTATTAAATTCCCAGCTAATAATAAAATTTTCCTGTTTAAAGGTATTTAACAATCATTCGAATCTCTGATTTTCCAGATGTAAAACTAAGGCCCAACTTGATCAAGAGACATGCCCAAGTTCATATAGCTAGTTAATGACATAAGTGTACTTGGATTTTAGCTACTTGATTTCCAGTATAATATTCTTCTCTGTACATTCCTTATATATGCTCCTTAAAGCAACATTCTAATATTATATGATAAAACAAAACAAAACAGAAACATGAAATAAATTCAATAGATTTAATATTTAAAAATGTATTTGTTTAATTTATACTACCCAATAATTTTATGATAGATATGTGAATTACTAAATATTAGATATGTGAAGGGAGAGAACATTTTTAAAATAAATATTTTCAGCCCTAACGTATTTTAACAAATAAGCTATATCACCTCCTCTTTTGGCAGTTATAGGAAAAAAATATGTGCTTCCATGGAGAACTATGCATGGCCTATAGCACACTCTTCTGGCTATCTTTTGATTCTGTGGATGCTATTTTACAACTATAATTTGAAGATAACTGATAGTTTAGTTATTCTTCTCTAAATACATGCAAATGAATTTGTTCAGTGGAGGGACAACCCTCCCCTCCTGCCCTTGCTCCCTCCTCTATCCCAAAGCAGTTCTGCCTCCACTTGTACACTTATTTTATTATCCTGATCTACAACTGTTTCTTTTCTTTGGTCTATCCTTTGAATTGGTTGTAATATCTCATCAGTTACCTCATTAATGAGTTAAATAAAATCTTTAACACATGTTCATTTTTATGTCTATATGAGTCATGATTTTATCATTTTTGGAAAAAATTGTATTTTAACAATATACTTGGCATTTCATCTTCTTAGAAAATTCCTTAGAGGAATAGGATTTTTAAATGATATATAATTTTTATTCTTCCCAATGTCAAATACATCATATAAGTAATTAATACAATATTACTTCTTTCAAAATGTCCTCATACTTAGAAAGTTTTTAAGAAGCAAATATAAGTATGTGTTAGGATTTTACCTTGTGTTTAAACTTATTGGAGTTCTTGTTCTCTTTTTTGTTGAGGTCAATAAAATAGTGTGTAATACGGTCCTTTGATTTTGAATCCATTTCCCAGGAAATCTTGAATGAGTCACATGTAATGTTACTTATTTTGATGTTATGTGGTACGGGAAGTTCTTCCATCTCTGCGATGCCACTGTCTTGTGATTTGTTTCCTGCAAGAAAGAAAATGATGCACAGTTACTTAGTTTCCAACCAATGAATTTTTCAAGTTTGGGAGCTGAGTATATACTTCTGAACTCAACTATGTAGTTACTAATTCTGAGATTTCATTTTGTTCATGAAATAATGTCAGTGTTAACGACAGAAAACGACATTCACAAGGTCATATTACCAATAAAAAGCAGAACTAAATTAGTCCTCACTATGTCCACATTTTCAATTTACTTTCCAATTTCTATTTTCACAGAATGAAAACAAAAACACTGATGACCCACCTTTCTAATCTACAGATTAGCCTTACATCAGCGGTTCTCAACCTGTGGGTCGCGACCCCTTTGGGGGTCGAACGACCCTTTCACAGGGGTCGCCTAAGACCATCGTAAAACAAAAAGATATTTACATTATGATTCATAACAGTAGCAAAGTTACAGTTATAGAGTAGCAACGAAAATAATTTTATGGTTGGGGGTCACCACAACATGAGGAACTGTATTAAGGGGTCGCGGCATTAGGAAGGTTGAGAACCGCTGCCTTACATGGTAGGTTCCATCTGAAAAGTAACGAGACCATTTTTCCTACATAACCAATCAGTTCTGCTCTAAAGTATTATCAGGTGTTTGAAACTAGGTGCTGTCAGAAATGTTGATAATGAAGAGTACAGTCAAATAAAGGAAATGTTTCTTTTAAAAGATCTATGAGGTATTGGAGACAGTCTATAAAAATTGCTTCTCCTTTCCCCTTTTGGAAATTTGTATACAGAAACAGCATGTAATGGTTATATTACATATACAAACAATACTGAAGACCATTCTCTTAAGTTACTATGTCGAGGATTACTCCAGGAATCTTTTTACCTGTCCTATCTTGATAAATTTAATTTTGAGTGCCAAAACAATAGATAATGCTAAAAGAGAAAAAAATGATTGCTATATTGATATTAAAATTTTGAAGAACTCATTGAAATCTGATTATTTTAAAGCTGTGCTGTACATTTCCACTTGCAGAAAATTCTATCACTTTGGCTAAGAGTATGATGGATGACAGGGGAAAAAAATATATATGTATGTATATAAAAAATATATATATATGCCAAATTTGTTTTATACATGGGAAAGACATCTGGATCAAATTTTACTCCACTTCTCCTTCCTATGTTCCCTTCCCCCAAGCCAACATAAAATTCAGTGCCCCAGAAGAGGAAATAAATAAAAGTAATTGTTATTCAAATGATAAAAAGTGGTAGGTCATGAATAGGCTACATAACTTGTTCCTTAACAGGATAAAATAGCAAATTTTGATTAGAAAAAATGAAACACAATGAATGTCACCTGTGGCGCTTCCACTTTCAGATTAGATTGTACTCTCTGCCCACACACTCCCATTTCAAGTATTAATACAAAATTTTTAACAAGTCCTAGTATTATTAAATCTTTGATCCATATTGTCTTATCTCAAGTTGTGCTGTGGCCATAAGAACCCAATGGCAATTGAAAATTAATTTCAAAATAACAAGTTCGTTATTATCATTTTTAGAGTAATACTTTTAAAAATCCTGGTTTCTTCTATGTACTTCCCTTGCATACCTGTTTCTCCAGAGTCTCTCTCCAAAAAAACTCCCAGAAAACTTACCCCCCCACCACCCCCATCCTTTTCTTCCCTTCCCACCTAGCCTCATAGAATCCCCAAATTGCTTCTGGCTTAAAGCCTTTCAAAAGTCAAGGGAAGGGAAGACACCAACTGAAATGCTTTTAATGGTCTTGGGAAAGAGAAAGGCAATAAATATTCAAACATTAGTAATTTTTGTTCTATTTAGAAAAGCTCACATTTTTACCTATTCTGGTTGCAGTTATGTTTAAAACATAACACTAATGAAATATCTTTCTTGACTCTAATAGTAGAAATTTCTGTAGAACTCATCTGCATTATGACTTTCCATATAATTTCACAACTGAGTGAAAAATATGATTTATGATCATCGAGAAAAATTAAGCTATTTTGTATTTGATCCAATTTAATGACAATACAACTTCAGTATAGTAACACTATATAAAATATTGCATTTTGCCATTTAAACTTTCACTATTATTTTAGTCAATCTTAAAGTTAAAAATAATTTATTTCCTAGAATGTAATACTTTGTTTTATACATTTTTTTCTTTTTATTAAAATTTGAGGAAAAAATTATTGAAATGTAGAAAGTTTTGCTAAAATCATTTTCCCATTCAGAACAATATAAAGATATAACCTATAAAGAATTTGTTATATCAAGAATCTTCATTTTCAAGTTCTTTATCATAGTCCCAGCTCTTAATAAAGTCACTAGATTATCCTCTATGCAACTTTTTTACTTGGGCAGAACAGGCAAAGAATTTAGCTTAAATTAGTCCTAAATTACATGTAACATCCTTCCTCCTCACGCTCTGAGCATCAATATTTAACTGAGATTTTGAGATAAGTGACAGAAGACAATGATTCTGCCTATAAAATTGGTGAGAGAGGGCTCCACATGACACTAATATTCAATAACCAGCCACTACTATTTTAGATCTGTACAATCAAATGTACTTTCAAAAGCGGCCTCCCTTTCTTAGTTAGACTTCATCGTAAGGGTAATTCTAGCTACATTTCTCTACTTTACATGCCAAATGATTCTAATATCTGTGGCTCTACTGCTGAATGTTAATACTGAATGGAGAATAAATGGCACTTTTATCTGTTCAAAATATGAAAATTGCTTTTCAGAACATTTCAAAAGTACTTTTCTAACAACAGCAATTATTGAAATGCAAGCTGAAAACTTTGCCAAATTATACTAATATATTTGATATATATGGCTCGTCTCTCACTAAACTTAAATCCCCTTTCAAAAGAATAATCGGATTTACAAACAGCTTTATTGAAATATAATTCACAAACCTTACACTCATTTAAAATGTACAATTAAATGTCTTTTTTAGTTGAGTCACCTAGTCGTGCGTCCATCCCCAAAATCATAGAACGTATTTTTACCCCAAAAGAAATCCCACATCGTAGCCAGTACTCTCCAACCCCAATCCCTGCTCATCTCTTCTCCTCAGCCCTAGGCAACCACTAATCTCTTTTCTATCTCTCACATTTGTCTGTTTGGACATTTCATATAAATAGATCATACAAATCATACTGTCCTGGCTTCTTTCACTTAACATAATATTTTCAAGGTTCATTCATGTTATGTAAGTACTTCACTTATTTTTATTGCTGAATAATATACCATTGTATGGATACACCAACTTTTGTTTATCTACTTATCAATTAATGGACATTAGGCCTGTTTCTACTTTTCAACTATTATAAGTAATGCCGCTATGAACGTTCATGTGCAAGTTTTTGTATGGACATGTTTTCATTTCTCTTGGGTGTATAAGAAGTGGAATTGCTGATTCATATGGTAACTCAACTTTTAATTTGCTGAGGAACTGCCAGACTGTTTTCCAAAGTGGTTGCACCGTTTTACATTGCCACCAGCAGTGTACAAAAAAAGGTCTAATTTCACCACATCCTTATCCACACTTAATATTAACTGTCTACCTTTGTTGCGTGTACTTTTGGTGTTATATCTAAAAGACCATTGTCTAATCCAAGGTCACAAAGATTTACACCCATATTTTCTAAGAGCTTTATAGTTTTAACTCTTACATTTAGGTTTTTGGGCTATTCTTAATTTTTATATTTGGTGTGAAGTAGGGGTCCAGCTTCATTCTTTTTCCTATGGATATGCAGTTGTCCCAGCATCATTTATTGAAAAGACTATTCTTTCCTCATTTAATTGCTTTGGCACCCTTGTCAAAAATCAATTGGCTGTAAACCAATTTCTAGCCTCTTAATTCTGTTCCAGTGATCTACATCTCCATTCATATTCCATTACCACACTGTCTTGATTACTACAGTAGCATTGTAGTATGTTTTAAAATTGAGAAGTGTGAGTCATCCAGTTTTGTACTTTTTCAAGATTATTTTGATCTTACTTATTTATGTATGGAATATAAAGAATAAAATAAATGAGAAAATAAAACAGAAAGACCCATAGATACAGAGAATCGATGGGAGGGGATTAAGGGGATGGATGAGAAAGGTGAAGGGATTAAGAAATACAAATTTGTAGTTACAAAACTGTCACAGGGATGTAAAGTACAATATGGGGAATATAGTCAATAATATGGTAATAACTATGTATGTGTCAGGTGGGCACTAGGCTTATTAGAGGATCACTTCAAAAGTTATATAAATGTCTAATCACTATGCTGTATACCTGAAGCTAATATAAAATAATACTGAATGCCAACTGTAATTGCAAAAAAAATAGACACAGGGATTTAAAGTACAGCATAGAGAATATAGTCAATATTACAATAACTATTTTCAGTGTCAGATGAGTAATAGACTTATTGGGGTGATCACTGTGAGGTATATAAACTTAGAGGTAACTCGAGGTTCTATATTCTCATTCTTAAAGTTACATTGAAAGTGTGGGTCACTGTATTTTTTTTCTTATTAATTTCTACATTATTTCTGGGTTGGGAGATTCAGATTTTGGTGGCTGTCATTACTTTAGCTACATAGAAATCAGATTCATTCATTTAAAACAATATTCACCCTCTGCTAAATTTAATCACTGTCAAAAAGCATTTTTTGTATTTTTAACTTTAGTAAAACTTCCTGAAGAAGACCTGTTAGGATCTGTATATTAACTCTAGGGAACTTTCATAAGGTCACTAAAAATCAGAATGTAATATCTCTCTTCTTGGAAGATTTTAAAATAAAATCTCTACTATGGATGAATGTCATTATACTTTTATCAGCTGGTTGAACTGAGTGGTTTCTCATATTGACTATGGCAAATCATTGAGATTTGTAAAGCTAGTTAAAGATGCTTATCGCCCTGCTGCTTAGTCATGTGTCTCATTATATTTATTTGTCAGTTATGACTTTTACTAAGTACCAGTTATTTACATAT